GAGAGAGAGACAGACGAGACAGACAGACAGACAGACAGACAGACAGAAGACAGACACAGAGAGACAGAGACAGAAAGAGAGAGACAGACAGACAGACAGAAGACAGACAGACAGACAGACAGACACAGAGAGACAGAGACAGAAAGAGAGAGACAGAGAGACAGACAGAGACAGAGAGAGACACAGAGAGAGAAGCAAAGAAAAAGCAGAACTTTTAGTAGAGACAATATTGCCCATCATTTTCAGAAGACATTTCAGGGCAAATAAGGGAATTAAAGAATAGAAAAATCAACATTATTTCAAATAATATACTAGGGCTAACACTTGTTTAGGTCAATTAGTCTAGACACTTTATTTCTTTATTTGTTGCTGGTTTTGTTTTTCCAAGACAGGATCTCAGCACCCCTACATCTCAAGGCATGCACCACTCCAGCTGGCTAGATGCGTTATTCCTAATTCAAATGACAAGACAAGAAATCATTTCCACTCCCACTTTATCCATTAAAATGAAGAGGATTCTAGAATATTAAGACTCATAGCAAATGATTAGGACTAATTAATCCTAAATTCATAATACCACCTCCAGAACTATCACCAGCCTTATGGTTCTCACCTAGGCTGCATACTGGAAGCCTCTGAACTTCAGAGATCTTTTCACTTATATTTGTTACAGGTCCCTAAGTGATCTGAAGAGAAAAGACCACAAGCAAGCATTCAAGATCATCATTAACTAAATTATCACACTATATAATAAAAGTTTTAACAGACTTGTTCACTATGTCAGACACTGTAGAAATTTGGAACTATTCACTGCACCTTTTGCCAGTATTTTGAGACAGGCTCTTACTATGTAGCCTAGTCTGCCTTACCTCCCTGGGCTTGAGTTACAGGCATGCAATACAACATGGTTTCCGTCCTTTGCCTCACGGGCACACGTCAGTTGTCACTGCACCTGCACCTGCTGACAACCTGAACTCCCAGTAGCCACCATTCTAATTTGCTGCAATCTTTGGCTCTGTAAGACATTGGGAGTCATGCTAATTAAAACACCGGAAAAGAAAAATGGCAGGTTGGCTCCTGACTGTAATCGAAGGACATAAGGATCTGAGGCTGGAAGATGCGAGTGTTTCAGGCTTCTGTGGGGCACACTTTCAGGTCAACCTGCCGACTGAGTGAGGACAAGCAAGAGCACACACAAAACAATCGGGAGGGGAGGAGGAGGAGGAGGAGGAGGAGGAGGAGGAGGAGGAGGAGGAGGAGGAGGAGGAGGAGGAGGAGGAGGAGGAGGAGGAGGAGGAGGAGGGAGAAAAAGAAGAGCAAGCTGTGTATGAGAGCCCATCTTACAGGTGAAGTGCACGCACTTTTAGGACATGAACTTAGTGACAGCACATTTGGTCAGTTACCCACGAGTCTCTTCCGATTCATTTATGATTAACTTTGTTCCTGATTCTTAACTGTGTACAGTTCCTGATCTTAATGACTATCTCAGTTATTCCCTCAGACCTGCTCTCTAATGAGGTTATGAACTCTGCTCAGGAGCCACGTTTGATTCATCTTTGTACCCCAGGGTCTAATACGATACAACAAACACGAACGCGGTCTCGTGGAGGCTGCCACCAGCGGAATTTACAGCATACAGCTGTTTGCGGCAGTGTGTACATGGTCATCAATTAAATAACCATAAGCTCTAGGGCCCAGAGCTGCTGGCTGCTTGACCAAGTGTTTCAAGGTATGAGGACTGTAGGAATGTCCTTACAGCGAACAATCTGCGTGCCCCAGTCCCGCAGGGCTCCTTTCAACTAAATCCAGCTAACAAGTAGTTAGTTATACACCTGCTCACTTAGGATACAGTGGTTAATAAGAACTAAGGTCACTACTGCCTCCAGACCACTCAGTTCCAGGCTACTCTCCCCTCTGCTCAAGTATTACAGTTTCTCTGCTTCCTTATTTCCTTCCAAATCATTCTCCTCAATGCCATCCAAGTGAGCTTTGTATGTTTGTTGAGACAGGGTTTTTCTGTGTAGCCCTGTCCTAAAACTCACTCTATAGACCAGGCTGGCCTTGAACTCAGAGATCCACCTGCCTCTGCCTCCTGAGGATTAAAGGCATATGCCACCACCACCATCACCCACACACCCACAACCAGCCACGGCTGAGCTTTTTAAAGAGCAAACCATAACACGCGGCTCTTCAAAACCTTCTAAGCCTTTTCTCTACCCTCAGGATAAAATCTGAACACCCCTCCTCCCCATCTCCCACTCCTATCCCCATCCCTGATCCAGCAGCTTAACATGCCAGGCCCTAATCTACCCTCCACCAAATGGCTCACTACTCACTCCTAATGGTTTGCCTAGACATGTTAGTTAGCCATGTGGAGTTCCATAGTCAGATCATGCCGTCTTCCAGTGGGAAACCGTGTTATGGTCTGTCAAGATCATCCCATTCGGCAGCAGAAAAATTCAATTTATGGGTTTGGATTTTAAACTTATGATTTTAATTAACAAGTTTCTTAAGGTCAACTGCTGACTGCTATCGTTCCCCAAACAGCATGTTCTCTCCTGGAAAGGAAGACTCCAAACTACAAATAAACAGGAGTTCTAACAGAAGGAAGGTTGGTTATACAAGCGGCCTGAGAGAAGGTACCAAACGGTCTATGACAAAATGAAATATGAAATGAGAAGTCCTGGGGACTGCACTGATGAAAACTAAGAAGAGACATCTGTCAAAACTCTGACCAGGGAAGTTTCAAGAAAAGTAACGCTAGAGGGTTCTGACAAGATCCCCCTCCATCCTTTTGAGAGGGCCATGCAGAGCCTATTTCTGTCTCCACAGACCTGAATGAGATGCCTGTGGCCCTGGGTGCTACTGGCTGCTATTTTTCAAGCATTGAATAAGCTAATAAGGTGCCCATGGTCTCTCTGTCTCTGGACATCAAGTTTTATGAGCCAGTAAGGGGTTTTTGTTTTTTGTAATTATTATTATTTAAGTCAGTCTGAGTTATTACTTGGAGCCCAAAGTCTCCTGACACACAACTGAAAAGCAATTCTTAAAAAAAAAAAAAAAAACCAGAAAGAAGAAAATCACGTTGAAAATTATGACTAGGTGACATCATTTAGTTCTGTAGCCTCAGCAGAAAATTAATCTAAAATATAACATGAATTTTTTATAAAAGAATATAGGCCTTCATAAACAATTGGTAGGGCATTGAAAGCACAGCAAATAATTTAGGAGAATTTTCTATGAGGAAAGGATATCCTACATTCACTGAATAAAACTTACAGTAGATGAAACATTGTGGAAGATAATATTAATGAGCCAGGCATGGCACATACCTTTTAATCCCTGCACTCAGGAGGCAGAGTCAGACAGATCTCTGCGTTGAGGCCAGCCTGGTCTACATAGAGAGTTCTAGGCTAGCCAGGGCTATATAGTAAGATCCTATAAAAAAAATAAATAAATACAATATTTAGAATAAAACACACACAGAATATTTGATGACTAGTTGGGTAATCAAAACAATACTTCTTTTAATTTTAAAAATCCTTGAGAAGTTAATTGACTGCAGTATATCATGGAACTATGGAACTGACACCATTTGTAGAAATAAAATGTATGATTAAACTATAAACCCTAAAGCAACCATTAAAGGAAATTAAATTGTATCTGATGATCCAACAAAAGGGATAAAAAAGAATCACAAAAAAGTACTCAATTCCAAAGAAAGGACAAGGCAGGCGTGGTAAGCAAATATGGCAAATGCAAATGATAAGACAGACGAGGCCTAAACATAATTAATAGACAAAACACAAATGGCTTGACCACCCCATTTTAAAGGAAGACTTGGCCAGAATGGATAAAAAGCAAGGCTGAACTATCTACAAAAAGCCCACTTTAAACATAAGACAAAAATGGGGACTGCAGAGGTGTCTCAGCCATTAAAAGCACTGACTGCTCTTCTAGAGGACCCAGATTTGGTTCCTAGCAACCACGTGGGAGCTCACAGCCATCCATAACTCCAGTTCCAGGGGATTCAATGCCTCCTCAGGCATGTGGTACAGATAAACTCACACAGGAATCTCCCCCACCCTCCCTCCTTCCATCCCACACTCTAAAACAACCATTCTCTTTTCTTTCTTTCTTTCTTTCTTTCTTTCTTTCTTTCTTTCTTTCTTTCTTTCTTTTTCAAGTCAGGGTCTCTCTGTGTAGCCCTGGCTCTCCTGGAACTCACTCTGTAGACCAAGCTGGTCTCCAACTCACAGAGATCTGCCTGCCTCTGCTTCCCGAGTGCTGGAATTAAAATCGTGTGCCACCACGCCTGGCTATTAATAAATATTTTCAAAGACAAAAGTACAGAAAAGTATCACATTAACATGATTCAGAAGAAAGCTGAAACAGAACATTAATACCACACTCGTAGACTTCAGAGCAAAGGATAAAATCAAGGCTACAGACTCATTTAACAAAGACAGAGAAGTCAATTCATCAAATCGTCAAAAGCACACAGCAATCCTAAGTGTGTATGTACCCAGTGAGCCTCAATCCACCCAGGCAAGAAAATAGAAAGCCCTCTTTCATGGTTAGAATACAGCATCAGCATTCTTAAGCTAAAACTGAACACAGCCTAAAGGGGAGTTAGGACCTTCCTATGTAATAAATGGCATGTATTTTACTAATAAAAGTATCATATCTCTCAGGAGTCAAAGGTATGCATTAAAGAGTTTATTAAAAAAAAAAAGACAAGTCTGGAGACACAAACTGCTATCCTACTAGTCAAGAGGCTGAGCTACATGCTAACTGCAAGTTTCAAGATCAGCCTACAGAGTAACTTCCAGGTCATTCTGGGCCTGGGAAATATAGTGAGAACCCTGTGTCAACAATCAAAATAAAACAGAAGGGTGAGGCCACAACTCAGTGATAGACCCTGGTGCAACCCCCAGCTGCCACAGTAAAGTTTACAACTTCAACCCCGAGCTGATCAAAGTGATGTAAAGCTGACTCACCTCTCGTACTGCCTATCTCGTGGTGACGAAGTGCCCCGGTGTCCTAAGTCCATGATTAATAGAAGTAAAAGGAGACAGGGTATAAAAAAGAGTCCCAGGAAGGCCACCCGCTGACGGAGAAATGGGCTCACTGTGGGCACAGTGAAGTACCAGGAGGCTGGGCAGACGTAGGAAAAACTGATCCTGGAATGAGACAAACATGTGTTAAGCCTTAAAACTCTCTGTAAGTGACTGCTTTAAAACGGTTTTAAAAGCAGAAGAAAGTCCTCAGCGCAAAAATTCATGACAAGGGAGGGCTAAATGGTTTTTTATTCTCATATGAGAAAAAAGCACCTGCTTGGCTCATGGTATTTCTACTATGCTGTTCAAACTGAAGATTTCATCTTGGGTTAATGGAAAGATCTTCACTCTCCCGGAGCCACTGGCAAACCAGAGAAACTGCAACATGCCCACTATCAATGCTGTCAAGAAGCTAGATAGTCAGAAAAGTTATTTAACTGATTTTTTAATGTTTTGACAGATCATGCACATAGAAAGACTTTAACATCAGTTTTAACAGACACATAGTAAAAAGTGAGTCTGGCTCTGATTCCACCAGCTTTCAGAAGCAATCACTGCTACTCCCACGACCCCAGGCTATGGCCAGGAAATTACTGTACGGGCCATTCAAAAGAACACCACTTTGATGTCCTTGCAAACACCTGACCAGGATGCAAAGTTCAGGTGAAGTCTCAGGGCAAACCTCACTTGTAACAGCTTCCCAGTGCCCCCCCCCACACACACTCAACCCACTTAACACCCTCCTCTGAGCCCTGTGCCAGAGATAACGGGTGCAAACCTTACCTAGCCATGGGTTCCCTTCAGTAGTCTCGATGTCTGTCACCTCCTTTTCCTTTTGCCCTGAGAGGGTGGCCTCCTTGTCCCCCGCATCTCCTAAGGCTGCAGCCTGGAAAGGGTTGACTGGCTTTCAGGCACACCTCCAGCCGTGCCCAAAGGACCAGTTCCCCGCAATGACTGCACACTTCCCTCCCACTGTACTAACCCCCTCCCGCCTCCCCCCCCATTCGGGGCTCTCTCCTCCCAAGGGCCCACAGGACCCTAACGCGCATCCCGGACGCAAGGCTTTCCTGCCGGCCGGCTCCGTGCTCGCGGAGCACACCACCAGAGGTGGCAGGGATGGGAGACCCCGCTTCCTCCTCCCGTCCCTCTCCGCCCCGAAGCTCTCCCGCGGTGCCACTCACGGGAGCCGAGGCCCGCTCGTCCTTCTGCACAGCCCAGCCTGGTCCCCAGCGGCTCCCCGTGGCTCCCAGCACATCCGGAAGGAGGCCTAGCCGCCCGCGGCGCCACGTCCCCAAGGAAACCGCACCGAGCCAATAACTGCAGGGGACCCGGAGAGGAACGCCCTGCGCGCAGCCGGAGCTGCGGACGAACCCGCGGCGTTCACAAACTGAGAGTCTGTTCACAGCCCGGCCAATCCTCAAGGGCTCCCGGCCCCGAATGCCCGCCCCCGGTTTAGAGCCGCGGCCAATCGGAAAGGTGTCTCACACAAGCTCCGCCTTGAGGGCGGGCAGGGGCCCCGCACAGGTAGGAGGCTTGGCGCTGCTGGGTCGCACGCTCCCTAAGGTGGCTTCTGGGCTGCTGCTCCCACTGAGCGTGGGTCTCGGGGTGTTCACCACAGCAGTACACCCCTTGCCCAAACCTTTGTTCCCACGATGGCATTTCCTCCATCCCGTTCCTTTTTTCCACAAATTGATGTCATCTCTCGTGACACTTTGGGAGAAAATCGGGAGACAGTGGTGTTTGCATCAAAGCGCTTATGTCCATTCCTTCAACGTTAATCAACTCTGTGGGGATCATGAACACATGTGTCATTTTCCTGGACCTTACGGTGATACACACAAAAGCATCGGTCATTTGGAGCTTTTATTCTTGCTGACCCCTGCCCTGTGTCTTATTTGCATGGAGAAGCCTCTTGAATGGCCGAAGTCTAAGGTTTTCTCAACCTGTCTCTTCCACTATGGGCCTCGCCTCTTGGTTAAGCCCTGCACATACACTTGCGGGTTTGGACCTGATAGTTTTTGTTCATTCTGGTCCTTCCACCTGCTGTGACTATCAGCCCCTGATCATCTCTTACGTTTGGCTTAAGGGTGGTCTTCTCCAAGGATGTTACTTGAAGCGCCTTCTGTTCCAGTTACCCCTTGAATTACAATCATGAGTCTGTCTGCTCCACTAGCCAGAATATCCTGGAGGACAGACTATCTGCTTTTACACATTCCCAAAGCCAGGCCATCCTTTCACACATAAAACGCAGCCCTCTTAGGATATACATGAACACTGGGACAAACATGAAGACCAAGTTGAGATCAATAGCGGCTATTGCATTCAAACTGGCTGTAACCAGTGACAGTCATTGTCGCTGCATTTGGCAGAGAATCGATGCTGTCAGAGGAGTAAGTAAAACAGCTTAATAATGAAAGGGACAAGGCTTCATATATCTATGACTTCGGGGTATTATTAATAGCAGAGAGCGGCTGGAGGCTGGGTGACTGGGTCAGAGTAGCACGTTCAGTGCTCTGTCTGGGCCTGAGTTGGAGAGGAAAAGAACATAAAAATCAAGCTGTGGGTAGTGACCCACACCTTTAATTCTACCACTTGGGAGGGAGAGGCAGGCAGATCTCTGTTAGTTTGAGGCCAGCCTGGTCTGCATAGTGAGTTCCAGAAGAGGCAGGACTAAGTAGAAATACAATCAAAGGAGGAGGAGGAAAGGGAGGAGGAGGGGTAAGGAGGAAGAGGAGAAGGAGAGGAGGGAAGAGGAGAAGGGGAGAAGGGAAGAGGAGAAGCAGCAGTTGGGATTAAGTGATCAGGGTCCTGCTCCTTCTGACTGATGGCTGCAGAGGCTGTTGAGGGTCCATCATCGTGGTCTGACCTTTGTCTAGCTTGTCTTTCCCTTCTGCCACTCTATCAGGTTGTCATCTCAATTTGTCCCCTTGAATTCTCATCTCTCAACTTTCTTCTCCCTTAGCCAGCACTAAGGGAGTGCTTTAGTGTCATCCTTAACCTGGGACACTGAAACTACACTGCGGAAAAGGATACAGGCAAGTGTGGGGGCTGGGAATGAAGTTCAGCTGGTAGTGTTTTCCTAGCACAGACCATGAAACCCTTTGTTTGACCCCTAGCACCACAATAATAATAATAATAATAATAATAATAATAATAATAATAATAAATTTAAAAACCTGAGCATGGGGGCCATGCCTATAATCCCTGCAGTCTGCAATCCCAGAGTCAGAGGATCAGAAGTTCAAGGTCATTGTCTCAGGGTTTCTATTGCTGTGGAGAGACACCATGACCACGGCAACTCCTATAAAGGAAAGCATATAACTGGGGCTGTCTTACAGTTCAGAGGTTTAGTCCATTATGGTCATAGTGGGAAGCATGGTGGTGAGCAGACATGGTGCTGGAGAGGCAGCTGAGAGTTCTACATCTGGATCAGCAGGCAAGAGGAGACTGCGTGCCACACTGGGCTAGGCTTTAGTTTCTGAGACCTCAAAGACTGCCCTCCATGACACACTTCCTCCAGCAAGGCCACACCTACTCCAGCAAGGCCACACCTACTCCAGCAAGGCCACACTTCCCAATAGTGCCAGTCTTTAAGGCCTATGGAGCCATTCTCATTCAAACTGTCCTCTAACACATAGCAAGTTTGAAAGCAGCCTGAGCTACATGAGACCCTGTCTCGAAAAAGCAAAGGTGGGGCTGGGCTTGACGGCTCAGCCCCTTAACCACAGCACTTCAATAGGAAGCTGAAGTGGGAAGATTACTGCGAGGCAGTCTGTGCTACTTCGTGAGATCTTACCCTAAACACACACACACACACACACACACACACACACACACCACACATGCACACTCTCATGCAAACACACACATTTTTCAACACATGCAGACTCTTATTCATGCAAACATATGTACACACACACACACTGCACAAAGTTGGTATTATCCCAAACTTATATAAATATTGGGTAATTTTATTATTCTAGAGAACAGTTCAGTGCCTTAACTTCTTGAAGCTTTTTCTTTGAGTTCTAAGTCTAAAATATGTATATTTCAAATTCCAGTATTCCACTAAATAACTGTTTCAGAGGATGAACAAAATAACTACCTATTTGTATATAATACCTAATTCATAGAGATGGGTTTTTTTTCTAAGACAAGGATTTATCTAAACAACAGTCGTGACTGTCCTGGAACTCACTCCATAGACCAAGCTGGCCTCAAACTCATAGAAAGCCACCTGCCTCTGCCTCCTGAGCGATGGGATTAAAGGTCTGTGCCACTACTGCCCAACTTCATTGGGTTCATAAGCCACATTAACTTTATAATCCAAAGGGGCATTGAAACATCCTCTAAAGTTAGAGGATATAACTACTGTCATAAAACAGAAGAGAAAACTGTATTTTAATCCAAAGAGTTTCTCTTGACACTTTCTTTGTGAATTTCTCTTTGACAGCTGGTTTGGACAGTACTTCCTCTAATAAGTCCAACTGCCCCCAGGCATGTGTTCTGCATGGTTCTCTACAAAGCCCTGCCATGTTTACCTGATTAGCAGTTCAGTCAGCAGGCCAAATCACAACAGGTTGAGACCAATGCTCTTCCTCGTTTCCTGTGACCCAATGGCATGTTGAAACGAATGCTAGAAAGTCACATTTCAAAACTGCTCCTCAAAGGGTTGTCTACACTCACATTAAAATTCCTATCGATACGCCCTCCATGCCCAACCCTGAACAGATCAGTCAACACCCCCTACCCCTCCCTGACACTGGGCGTCATGCTGCTTCATTTCCCCTTAATCAATTCTCCATCCTTTCACACCATCATTGTCTAGCTTCCAAAGGTTTCTCTCCCATGTTTAATTGTCCCTCTTTGTGTGCTTTTCAGGAACCTCACTGTTCACATATGCTGTCTCTCCAAATCACTCCCCCCAAACTCCTCCATCCAAACAAACGCACATCTTGGACAAAATCCCCAGTGATTACCCTACATGGGAACCTATGCAGGAGTCAACCTAGAATCTAGTCCCTCTACTTTCTTTCCCATTTTCCATCCAATTTGTGTTCTTAAGTGCTGTGGGGTATCAACAGCAAGACTGCTAGGACTCTGTCCAGAAGTCCCGTCTATACCCCCTCCCTAGCTACTGGTCATTCAGCTCTTTCTCACACCAATAACACCAATACACTTTCACACAGTGTGCAAATATCCCACAACAGAGATGTGCATCTGTAATCTTAGTCCTTGTGGAACTAAGGCAGGAGAGTGGAAGGTTTGATGTCAATCCAGGTTATATAGCAAGACCTTGTCCCCAAAACTGAAAAAAAATAATTCAAGCACTGAGAGCTGACAACAATAAAAAGAAAACAAAAACCCTAGTATGTGTTAGTTAGGGTTCTCCAGAGAAACAGAACTGATACAATAAGAATATATAAATCTCATTGAGTGACATCCATATATGTGAAAGGGATTCATTAAACTGGCTTACAGGCGTGGTCCAGCTAGCTCAACAATGGTTGTCTACCAACAGAAGGTCCAAGAATCCAGTAGTTGTTCAGTCCATAGGCTGGATGTCTCAGCTGGTCTTCAGTATATGCTGGAATCCTGAAGAAGTAGGCTCTAGTGACAGTGAAGGAATGGACTTGGCAGCAAGCTGGCAATGAGAGATAGCTTCCTTCTTCCATGTTCTTTAAATAGGCTGCCAGCAGAAGGTGTGGCCAAGAATAAAGGTGGGTCTTCCCAGCTCAAAAGATCTGAATTAAAACCGGCTCTTCCCACTTCAAATGACTTAGTAAAAAATCTCTCGCCGGGCGTTGGTGGCGCACGCCTTTAATCCCAACACTCGGGAGGCAGAGGCAGGTGGATCTCTGTGAGTTCGAGGCCAGCCTGGTCTACAGAGTGAGTTCCAGGACAGCCTCCAAAACAATACAGAGAAACCCTGTCTCGAAAAACCAAAAAAAAAAAAAATCTCTCACAGGCATATACAGCCACTTGGGTCTTAAAAATTCCAGATGTAGTCAAGTTGACAACCAAGAACAATCACCATATACACCACATACTGAAAAACTAATCTGAAACAAATCACAGTCTTAGAAACACTGACTAAAACACTTGTAAAAGAAAATGAGAATGCCTTAGTAGTGTCGTAGGTTATTTCTACACTGTGTGAAGATGTATTGCTGTAATAAAGAGCTGAATGACCAATCGCTAGGCAGGAGGGATAGGCGAGATTTCCAGGGAGGTAAAAGAAGAGGAGAATCTAGGAGCACAGGAGAAGCCAGGAGACACGGAGAGGAAACAGGAGGTATGGGATGGAAGAGAGGTAACACCAGGTGATAGAACATAGATTAATATAAATGTGTTAATTTGTTACAAGAGATAGGCCAAGCTTT